CACACACACACACATAAACGCACAGTGGCATGAAGCAAACCCAGTCTGTGGGATATACAGATATGAGTAGCAGTCTCTGAGTTTGACTCGCCATGTCTGTGCGTGGATATGATTGCTCATGCTTGTGCAGCTCGAGTGAGTTTGAAGAATTATGTTTATTCCATAAAGTCGGCGTGGTCCCCTTCTCTCAAGTCAGTCCTCCATGCGCCAGCGGCGGCCTCCACGCCTGACCGTGACCCCCACCCCCCGTCTTTGGGGGGGTCAGGTCATAGTTCCAGTAAGGCCACAGCAGGGGTCGGTCAGCTGGCGTGATGGGTATTCACGTGAGTCTGTCTCCGCTGTCGCCTTGATAACCGTTGCTACGGTGAGCTGAAGCCTTGGTCAGGGGTGGGGCTAGAGGCTGGGGCGTTGGAGGGTGGTGTCGTAGGAGCGCACTACCTGGGATTGGGACACCACGCCGTGCTCCTCCTGAGAGAAGGCATAGCCATCTGCAGAGAGACAAGAGGAGGGAGGTTTTTAAAAAGAAAGTTGAACTCTGGGGTATGTACGGCAGTATAGTGCAGTAACACCTCAGTTTTTGTGAAGTACTTTGGTTGGTTGTGAACAGACGCAATTCACATTTTGAGGCTGTATTTTGAAACACTGCCTTGAAAATTCCCCAAAAATTGAATAGAGTTACACAAAGGTGGTATTCATCTCAGACCTGTTATAGTCGACTGCCTAACTATACAGGGATTTCCATTTTTCTGGTCACTCAGTGTTTGTGTTCCTGGCCAAATGCTGTCCAAATAGTGGGAATCAATTTGTTGTTTCGAGCTATATAAGATAGAAACATGGAATGTTATTGCTTTCGCTCTCCAATAACACTTAAATTACACCCTTAATAGGTACATAAGCAAATAAACGAATCAAATAAACCAAACAAATCGGACTCTGCAAATATGTAGGAAACAGAATACATGGTGTTCTTCTCTTCATCTAAATTCTTAGTTTATATTTAGAGCCTGAGCAGCGACGGCTCGCACATGGGCGTGGCAAAATGGCTTAACTACGCCCCCTAAACACGTTTGACAGATGTATGAAAATTGGTTCACACGTGTATCATGACCAGATAAACAAAAAAGCCTCTTGAACCCATTCCCCAAAGCCAACAGGAAGTCGGCCATTTGGAATTTGTAGGTCATTTTTGGGGATTTTTTGCGTTGTATTTTCACAAACTCCTCCCAGGGAATTAATCTACTCGATTTAGTCAGTGCAATCTAAAAACCATCAGAATTAAAAGTTGTGCTGTTTGTGACTGCGTGTCAAACGGCATGTCGCTGAATTTTGACGTATCGCCATGAAACTTTGTCCAATGTGCACCAAACTTCTCGTTATTAGAAGTCCCGCCCTGAACACATCTACATGCCAATATTCTGACAATATCAGGACTTAAATTCTGGCCAGAAAGCTTCTACACCCAAAGCTGTACCAAATATCCCCAGTATGGGAGCAGGACTTCGGTAACGTTACAGTATGTGTGTTTGGAAAAAGGACACTCACGTGACACAGTCTGCTGCACCGAGTTTGAGCGTCCTACGCTTGAAGGTGTTTTCCTAAAGACTCTTGTCAGCAGATGGGCCCGTTCGTTTAGACTGCAGAGAAAGGAAAGAAAGATCAGTAACTCCACAGTGACGGCACATAACCAGTTAGTCAGTTGGTAATTAAAGAGAGAATCTCCACTATTAAGACTACCACACAACACCATTACTAGCTACAGGGAAATATTTTTAAATTAGTGTACATATTTCTCTGTGCTTTTATCACTTTTTTGCTTTCAGTTATGAGCAGTGGCAGGTTTAACTGTTTTTTTTAGATATGTCGAAATATAATGTAACTGCCAACAGATTTAAGGCAGCAGGATTTTTAGAGCTTTGACCTTCAGCTTTCCTTGAGCAAAACACCGATTTTCCTTCACGGATCAACATACAAACACACAGATCAATGAGCACACAAAGCAGATTTAAGTCCAGAAAGTTGGTAGGAGGTGGATTTGACACTAAGTGCTTCTGACATCCAATTTATCCCAACAGTAAGTCATAAACTGGCTGTAGGGTAACAGGACATCCACAGTAAACTATTCCCCAGAACCCCCCTCAACCTCCTCTCCTCTTCTTCCCCCTCTTTCCAAGAAGAAGACTGGATCCTCTGTTCTGAGACCACACGCCGTCACGGCTCCTCTCCTCCCGTGACCAAAAATAACTAAGCCCTTTCCAGATATTGCGCACACACACATACACACGTTTAGTTTGATACTTCTCTCCAGTCTTATCGCCATCATTACAGTCATTATAGTTATTAGGCATAGGCACTGGATGTAAATGCAAGGACGCCTGTAGCACTGGCAAAAAGTGACGCAATCAATTTTATATGAAAGACTACATTTATCTTCCAATGAAGTATTAAATTCACACAAGAGGGGTTTCCCTGGCTCCTATGATGATCAACGGCGTAGTTATGAACTAAAGCCAGCATTCCCAAGGTTGAAATTTGGACCAGGCAGTTAGGAAATTCTTAATACTGTATGTGACTGTTGGGAACCTTCACTAGAGCGTTTGTAAAAAAAAAAGTGAGGGTCTCTGAAGTTTGCTCAAGAAGTCTTTGGCCAAAAAAAATGATGTCTGTTAGATAGATGACAGTGCTGAGTGAATGATAAAAGACTAAATGGTGGCTGGACAAATAAATGAAAGGCTCATGCATCAGTACAACTCAAGTTGTCCTTTCTACTTCTGTTATGTTTCTTACTGGCTACCTTCAGATTCAGAAAGGCCCAAGGATGTGTTTCCTTTGAACTCTTCCCCCGAGACGCTCCTGCGCTCTACCTTTCCCATGCCTACCCCAGGACCTCCCCAGGAACTACAAACACAGATGTGCTCTTTTCCATTTTGCTCCATCGCCTCCCTGCCCACCACTACCTTACTTCTCTTATTCTAAATGGAGAGGGCCCCAAGACCCAGTCCCGCTTTCCTGGGTTTAAAGCAGGGTCAGTTCAGGACAGGGCCCTGTGTAGGGGTCAGGAGCAGCAGTGTGGTTTCCCACCATTCCCTCCCCAATCTGAAAACATACCTCAAGACTTCTCCAGCTCTTTTCAAGGAAAGAACTTCTCTGAGAAAACAGCCCGAGTTGGTGACTCACACACATCTGACTCTTTATCACAGCGAGTCATAATAGCTGAACATTAAACATCTCATTCTAATCTTGATTAGCAAAATATTGTGGAAACTCTGATTCTTTATTAAAATATAATTATACTAAATGTATTTTGTTACTTTCCATCACTGCTGGTCAAGCATCTACAATCTTTAGTGCACATACTGTGATTTATAACTTATAAATTTCCCCCCAAAAAATAAACAACGCAGTCTAACACAGCTCTAGTGACACCACACACACAGCTAAATCACAGTGAGAGACAAAACCAGAAGACACACCAGGTCTGTACAGCAGTTCAAATTGATCCACCTGTGACGCAATGCAGAGATGGAGGAATGGAAAAAGAATAAACATAATGAGAGAAATAAAAATGATACTGAGGAGTGATTCAAAGATAAACAGAGAGAGGTATGAACTCAGTTAATGGAAAACAAGCGAGGGTCACTCCAAAGCAGCCTGCAGTGGGGCACACAGGTCATTTGAGGTAACAGTTCACACATTGGAACAGTGCAAACCCAGAAACTACCTCTGTGAGCGTGTGACAGCTCTGACGCTACGGCGGGACCTCAGCCTTGGCTTCGGCCCTGTGGATGGTGCCACCGGGGGGTTAGAAATACCATTACACCACAGAAACGTACAGTCACTCCCTGGTCATTTTATTAGGTACAGCTATACAAACTAATGCAAACCAATACAACAGCTCTGACACATATTCTTCCTTTACAGATCTTAAAAAAAGTAATTCAACGATATGTTAATCATAGAGTGGTGGTGTTGTACCGAATTATACTGAAATATGTTTCCAATATCCTGCTCCCTTTTATGTTTGTAAATGGGAAAGAAACATTAGGAAAATCTCTCAATATAATATAATGTAGTCCAGTTCAACACCACTGCAAACTACAACCTCAATGACAAACATAGTTAAATTAATAACATTGATATTTTTGTAAAAGAATTGACTAAGCTGTTGTATCGGATTGTGTTACATTTTAAAAGGTGCACCTAATAAAAGTGGACACTGAGTATATAACCCTATTTACAATTTTATACTGAATCTGTGTACATAGAGTAATAACATAAATAATAATGACTGCATGCAGTGATGCTATTTTAATAACCCTATAAAAATCATAAAATAAATGAAACCAAACACAAATAAAACTGGATATGAATGCAGGAAATCCCATGATGCTTTGTAGCACACTGTATATACCTGCGGCCGCTGGCATCCCTAAGTACAGCTGCCTCTGGGTCAACGGCCCGAGCTTCCAACTCCTGCACCTCCTCCAGAAGAGACTTCCTCACAGTGCGACGTGTGCTGCAAAGCATGAATAAGCTCGTCAGCCCCATGAAGGAAAGTTTGAGCATTTTACTGTGCAGACACATGTAATTCATAATATGAAGTGTGCGTAAGTGTTGACACAGACTCAATGTGGGTTATGTAAACGCTTCGGTTAAGTTAAATAGTCTCTGTATGGATTTCTCATGTATTTATATTAAATATGTTCTACTTACGCAGTCCAAGCAAAGTCTTTGAGTAAACACGCAGTAGGCACCAGGACGAGGCCCAGCCAGAAGTGCCAGCACTGCATCACCTTGCCAGCCTGCAATGACAACACACAGGCTCCATTTATTTTGCTCGTATATTAATTCAAATTGAGTATTAAGTCATTTTTCTCTGCAACGAGCACAGAGAAACACATGTGGAAAAGGCAGAGAGAAATGTGAGACAAAGCACATTGAAAGTCATTCACAGGGTAAAAAAAAAATCTGGAGTAGCCAGATTTGCTAGCCAAACATATTTAACAGCTCTCTCACACCCTGTATCTACACCACAAACTGGATTTAACACAGTATTCCCACAGCTGAACTACAATGCTTCCATGCTGCTAAAAGATAAAAATGCTAGTGAGTAAGCATACATCCCCCCTACCTGTCCCTGCAGTCCAGCTGCAGCCAGCCTCACTGACCTCTGACCCTCATGCTCAGTCTGTCTCAAGGGATTAATCATGCATCTAACCACTGTCTCAATTTGTCTGTCTGTCGGCCTCTTGCCTCTTACTCCTACACATCTCTTTCTCCCGCGGCTCCCTCCAATCTTACTCTTTCACAACTTCTTTTCATTACTAGTGACCGTATCTTCTGTTGCTTGTCCTCGCCTGTTTCAGTAAATCCCTTCATTTTCCCCTTTATTACCCAATATCTCCTCTTCGCTTATCTGCAAGAGCTCTGTGGTGTTTCATAAGCCTTAGTCTTTGTCTCTAGGCGTGAACCTTTATGTCAATAGTCACAAACACTATGCACTGCAACGTCCTTAACTTCCCCTATATTACTGTCCATATCATGTGTTTCCTGTGTTCTGTGTTTGGATCCAGAGATATAGACAATTTGTTTCCCAGCGGGAAAAGCAACAGGGAAAATGAATCAGAAAACCATTAGAAAATATCCTCTGCAGCAGCTGGAATCACAACCAAGTCACAGAAGATCCAACTGCACTAACACATACTCTGTGGTTTCTATATGTGACATACACCTACACACAGAACACAGTTCATTTTTACAGCACTGGACACATTATATCATCACTTTATATACTCTGAGGATGGAGGCATGCTAAATGATTTTCTGATTTGTTATATCCATAGAAACAGACTGTTGGTCTCCACCACTTTACAATCGACACAAATCACATAGTTGGACATGCGTAGCGCATTAATTCTCATACGCACACACACATTTAAACACACTTATTCTGAGCAGAAATACACAGCTCTTTTCCATCCCGTCCCCCATGGACAGATGGAAATATAGATAGTGGGAGCAGGGGAAATAAGAGAGGTAATAGGGTAGTTAGGGGGGGACGATGGAGGGTTGGGGGTGGTGGTTGAGTGTCTCTGACCATTCCCCAGTTAGACTGAGCAGCTGCAGAGATATTTGACCGCATTCCTGATTTCTGACACAAATTGAATTAATGGGCTGAGGGGAGTTGAGACGGCCTTATTCACTTCCCCTCCCAAGACTCTACCCACTCAGTGGGGCACCTCATCTCACCCCCGCCTGATTCCCGAACTCCAAAATGAGTCTCTCAATTAAGGGGTCCACATGTATACTTCTCCTCACCCCCACTGGACCCCTCATCACCAGCAGCAGCCCACCCTCTTGAATCAACACCTCCAAGGATGGCAGTAAAAGACCTGGACTCGGGTGTCACGCAGCAGGTGCAGGAAGCATGGTGAGAGGGGCTGGCAGGGCATAAATCTCCCCCGGGGCTCCAGCAGTGCCGACGTGGAACACCCAAGAGGTGAGTCTCATAGGCGCCATGTTTTGGCAACCGAGAACAAGGGAGGGGCAGGTGATGGAGGTTGCAGAAAAGAGATGTAGAGGGAAAGACTATTTTAACCCCATTCACCCCGTTACTGAAATGAGTGACACATGTTAATGGAGAGGGACTTGCCTGGCCCAGCATGTCGGGGGCGATGGGGATGGTGGGCCAGATGGCGGAGTAGACAGCAAAGAAGACCATCCAGAGCACCATGCTTCCCCATACCGCCAGGTGGGAAAACTACGGGAGAGAGAAAGAGAGAGACAGAAAGAAAGAAACAGAAAGAAAGAAAAAGAGGAGCCAAAGGAAGGAAGTGCGAGAGAGGATGAAGATTAAGAGATAGAAAAGAGAGACAGCATGAAGTCGAATAGTTTACATACAGCTCATCCGAATATACACAGCCTTCCCCTCCCCTCCTTCCCCTGTCTTCGTCCTGCTCTCTGTGATCTGCTGTAAGAGGACACTGTGTGAATTCCAGTGGGACCCTGCTTCATTACTGCCAGGCTGTTGTGTGGACAGCTGAACGGACAAAAGTGTCAGCGCCCTTCTGTCCATCCTGCCAATCTCTCTCTCTCTCGCTCTCCAACAGGAGAAAGGAGCAAAATCATGTCGCTGTCACAGCGTGAGCTACTGTTGTCCTGCATTCCACATCCATCTCTGCTCACTTCTATCCAATACAAAACGTTTGAACCGAATACTTCAATACTTCTCAGTTTTGTTTAATTATTCTTTGTCCAGATATTTCCTTGTTTAAACATAATTTTGTTAACTGTTTTACTGTATTTCACTGAGGCAAAGTTCATGTACAGCTGCTCAAGCTTTGCCTGCATACACTGCACTTTCTACACTATGGCAAGACACCTGGCATATATCTAGTTACTGGTATATTTTGATAGTAAACTGCAGGATTTTTTATACATGCTAACATTACTAGTGAGGGGGCGCTTTTAACCCATGCTGCCTGCTGATAGTCTGGGACACAGCACAAGTGACTTCCTCACTAATTGCAAGAGCTACTGTAACTTTGTGTAGTCCTGGTTAGTGTTACACTAGTAGCTGCTATTGTATTTCTCCCTGGAATTCCAAACTTAATGCTAGCTAGCTAAAGCCGACAGACATTGTGGCGTGCAGTTACTAAATCTTTGAGCTAGTTGTTTTTTATTAACAGTGGCAATGCAAATATGTAACCGTGACATTATGATGCCTGAATCCTTGATGTTTATAAATGAGAAGCCTGTTCAAAGAAAGTAGGGCTGGAAATAGCCCACACAATTTCAACCTTTGACAGTAACCATGTATTGTAGATGAGCGTAAAAATACATTTCTCATGACTTGAATAGAACATTCTTTAAAAGGAATGAGGGAATCTGGGCTTTAAGTTAACTATGTTAAATTAAATCTGTGTCGCTCTTATGTTTCTGTGTGCACTATTCATCTAACAGATGGTAATCTCAAAGTTTTCTGATCTGTTTTTCTCCTTTGCTTCGCTTTGACTGAGGAATTATGAGGTTAATTCATCCTTTGCAAGTTTCACCTCTTAAAACAAATTCAACACTTAAAAAGGTTCCCTGTGGAGTTTTAGACCTCTAGTAGCTGTTTTTCTACGAGCGGGTCCCCGTTTTGTTTATCCTGTGAATGCATGCAAGTGATGCGTTACACATTTTTGCCAATGGTTTCACAGTATTCCACTGATCAACAGGTGGTGGTAACATGCCAAAATATGC